CCCCAAAACCCCAAAACCCCATTTCAGAAATTAGCAAGATGGTTTAGTTGAAAATTAATATTTATGAAATTAAGATAAAGCAAGATAGATATTCGAGATAAATTGTTTTATCATAATTATGATTAATTTGATCATATTGAGTTAATGTCACTTTTTAAAACCGAATCTATTTGTGCTTTTTAGCAATTTATCCATATTATCTTTGATGTTTTTAATCTTTATCTCCTCTTGTGACATATCTTTTTATGAGAAGCCCTCATTGGTGCTTTTCTATGACATCAATTATGATATTTAGCTTTGATTATTATTGTTGTTATTATTATTACTGCTGTTTAAATAAGTAGCTTGATTTTAATTTTCACTTTTAGAGTGCTTTTATTCAGTTTTGATAATAGATTTAATGCACTCTTCCTTAGGCTTAAGTTAAGACTAACTTTCTAACTCGAGTGAATCCTAACTGTTTATCTTATTTATACTTGCCTACAAAGAATTTTTAAGAGATTATTTGACAGGCATCTTAAATTTCTAAGCCTATTAAGATTATTAGTTTTACTGAGATATATTTGAAGATAACTTAGGATCTGTTATTGCTGCTGGATTCATTAGTTAGGAATAATTTTATTGCTTTTAGAGATTTTATTAGGACTTGGAAGGCTTAAGCCTACTTCTTTCTTGGTTTGACATCCCAGAGTCATCATAGTCTCTGGCATCTAGCTCTAATATCATGCTTTTAACTTCATTTTTACTGTTATCTTCATTGTCCTCATTTTCCTCTATGATACCACCAAGAAATGGCTAAACTATCTAGACCTTATTTTAGTTCTTGTTCTTTTTACTTTAATTTGAATTTTACACTGCTGGTTGAAGCTTGCTGCTATATAAGAGTTGTGAGTTTTTAATCTTCTATTATTCTGTACAAGATTGCTCACAAGCTGATTCTACTTCATTTATTGGGGGTAATTTCTGTTTAAGCTATTAAATCTTAAGTTTTTACTTCTCCAAAAAACTCAACTCTTTCTAAGCCTATTATTGATGTTATTACTATCGTAATTAATAATTCACTTAATCCTTATCAGATCCATCCTGAAGATGACTCAAGGCTTACTTAAACTATTCATCAACACCATTCTCTTTGCTCTGAGAATGCTTGCTTTATTGATTACTAGATTTGGTTTATTTTGATAAATTCTGGTTTGGTTTCTAATTCTGAGAGTTAGTATGCTATTGAGTTTTTGCACTTTATTTATCTTCTTGTTTGATCTTTCTTTTGCATTACTTCTAGTCTTATTTTCCAGAAAATTCTCCATTCTATTTTTAGTTGATTTAATTATTATTTGTTTATGACTCTTCATTGTCGCTTTCTTTAAGTTCATAGTCAGGCTATTGCCTTTTTTTTGCAGATTTAATCTTAAAATCAGTCTTCTAATCATCTAGAGTTCTTGCCACTACAACTGATTTGAGATCAATCATAGGATATATAATCTCGTCTAGAGTTTCCTTGCCATAAAGGTAATAGATATTAACACAGTCACTTTCTTGGCCTATACGATGGACTCTATCCTCAGCTTGCATCATAAGCGCAGGTGTCCAATGAACTTCAGCAAAGATAACCGTAGAAGCTGCTGTTAAAGTTATCCCTTGAGAAGATGCTGTGATAGAGAGTAATGCTACTCTCACATACTCCTTCTCCTAAAAATCCTTAACCATCTCATGTCTAATCTCAGGTGGAGTACTTCCGTCTATTTTTATAAAATATGGAGGAAGTATCTAGGAATTTTGATTGCTTGCCTCTTTGAGTCTTTACTCCAAATGATTTTCCAGTTCACATATAACGGATTAATGATGAGCGAACAAGATGAACTTAACCTAGTCTATATATTACTCTGTGAATATCAATTTCTTACTTTCAATCATATAGTCCATAAATTCAATTATTCCCTTAATTTTTGCTTTGCCTGAGAGCTAATAAACTTTTTGAAGTTGCTTCTCTTCTGGGTCATCAGTATGTCCATAGAACTATTTACTTCCATCGTAGCTAACTCCACTTATTTGAATGTTATCATACTATGCAAACTTTTTATTTCTCTCTTTAATTGCTTCTTCAATCCTCTTCCTATCATCAGCTATAATATGATGTTTTATGATATTAGATCTTACCATCTGATAAATCTCTTTTTAGAATTGCTTTAATTTACTATAGTATCTTTTTATCTGGCTTTATATTAATCTTTTACCGAATTTTCGGCGGTAAATCTTAAAGAACATCCTTTTTCAGCCTTCTTATCATAATTTTACCCTCTAGAAGCTAATGTAATTCCTTTATATTCGAGGCTCCAGAATAGTCCATTCCAAACTAGGATTCTTTCGGATTGCAATACCGAGTTGCAAATTACTAAAAATCCTAGAATATATCTGGTCTCACCATCTTAATCAAGTTGAACAACTCAGCTGGTCTAGCAAGCATAGGAGTACCTGATAATAAAATGAGTCTTTTCATTCAACTTAAAATTGGTACTAAATTTTTGCTTCTCAAACTCTGTATGAGTTTTAGTTAATAGTGTATTTACCTTGTATGCTTTTAAATAGTGAGCTTCATCAGCTATAACCATTCTAATGCCTCTTTTGACAAATGACTCAGTGTTCTTTGATGCTATCTCATATGACATTATATATATTTTGGCATCGTTAAATATATCTTCCTTCCCAGAAGAGATCAGACATATGTCATCTGAAGAAACATCTGGTAGCCATTTGAGTATCTCATCAAACCAAGTAAATCTCTATATGCTATGTTAATTTAGTAATTAATCACTTACTAATGAGCTAGGGCTAATTATTAGAAGCGGCCAGTCGTCTTAATAGACTCTGCTTACTGCAAGAGCTTAAACTGTTTTACCAACACCCATCTCATCTCCAAGCAAAAATCTTCCGTATCTGCTAATGCCAAAATTGACACCCTCTTTTTAAAAGTTAAACAGAGAATCTTTGAGCGATTAAGGTAGCATCTCAAGATTGTAATTTTTCTATCAAAATAATATCAATAGCTAGCAAGTACCTTACCTTTTTATCATCAAAGTAGTTGAATTTCACTCCCATAGATTCTTCTAGCAGGTAACTTCAACTGAATGGTATGTCATTTTGATAAATATCGAACACAAAATTGGGGATGTTAATTAACTGCAAAGTTGCAGTCTCTCATTTGGTCTGTCTAAATTTCTCCTCTTAGGTTTTTCTGTATTTGTCCACAAAATCACACAGCATCTCGTATACATCATTATAAGCTTCTAGCTTAATAACCCAACACTTAGTCTATCCGTCAAATTTCACCCAGTCTTAGGGTTTTCGTTTCTTGAAATTCTTGATCATAGCAATAAGCTCGTTATCAAAGAAATTAATGAACTTAATCACAAAATGATCGCTTGATAGTAGCTCAAGATTCAATATCTATTTAATATCATCTCTAGGTACTTATTTAAAGCCTTTATACTAGATCTAAGGTGGTTTTTTATTTTATTTGAAGGACTAGTCGTCATAGTTTTTCTTGTTAGGATTGTAATTTCAATTTTAATTCATATTTTATTTAGGTTTTTATTGAGGCCAGCAGCTTTAATCTTCAGTAGGGAATCCCCAGTTAGATGTGCTTGGATTTCCATACAAAGGTAATTTCTCTCCTCCACCAGGAACAACAGAGTTTTAACTCTATGAAATAAGTCCCTGCTCTCATATCTTCTTGAACGAATCTAAATACTTGTCCTTCTGTTCTTGGAATGTTTACCGTTCTTGTTAGTAATTAGAGTTGCTATTGTTATTGATATTGGGATTGTTAAAATGGCTATAGCTCATTATAACTTAATTAGTGAGGGGAAGTGGCTTGCGAGTTTACTAATTAAGATTAAAAGTGCGCAACTATCATTCTGAAAATAGCACTGCAAATTTACAAACAATCTAAAAACTAATTTGTTAATTCACTGATTAATTATTACAGCCAGCTATTTTCTGATTTAGACTCACGGGGTTTTGGGGTTTTGGGG